GTATTCTAGATCTGGTTAGGAAATCAAGTCACGGAACGTAAACAACAATTAAATAATTTATTGAAGACATCCCTAAAGTTTAAACTGTATGAAATATTTAAGCACATGAATGTTAATCTAGATGCATTTGTAACATGTTTTGTTAATAGATAAAATATCTTAGATTTTAATACCAGGGAGTTTTGCTGTCTGGGTTCGTGATAGGTACTGTGCAACCGAAAATATGGGTTTCAAATCCTGGCGGTTTATTTAGTTAGTTTGATTGCTGCTGTATGAGTAGTCTTTATTAGATCGTTGCGAGTCCGTCCCCCTGTCAGTAAGCTCATGAATTTTCGGTATTCCGGACAACTGTTATTGCCGACAGAAGGTTGTTTCGCTGAAGCGAATTAATATTTTTCCTCTTCAATTTCAGAGGAAGGTGAAGCAGGCGAGTGAGAGAGACTTCCGGTATCAGGTAAATACAGCTTTGATGTTCAAGTTTCTACAGTCTCTAGTCGATTCTAGTCGTAGAGATGGCGCTTTGCACTGCATTACTTCAATAGACCTCACAATTTTGATAACTTATAGTTACTATGCTTTCGGTCGTTGTCTGAGAGACCCAACCTAGGCCACGCAGATGAGTACCCTAAAAATACAAAAGAACCGGTAAAGGTTGGCTACAGGCTATCTTTGGTCAGACGGACGAAACCAAAGCATGTTTAGCCTGTTTCTGCAGTCTATTTGACTTATCACTGCAAGTTATATCGTTACACCAGCAGTGAATTCTTATTTTCCTATGTGTAGCCTCTAAAAGAAATCACAGGGTGACCCCTCTATCAACTGGTAAATATGCGGAGAGAACCTTTCTGAAAAATGTCTGTGCTATACAGGGTGTCCCAACGAAAATGGAAAGTAGTTTTATGAGCAAACTACAAAGATCTTGAAAAACCTGTTTTCGTGGCAACCTTGATATGTTACTAGTGCATATTTTACAATTATTTTAATATATACAGGGTGTTCCATAATTTCGTGCCATAGCAAATATGTATATTTTGAAATTGAACACCCTATATTTTATTGCTTATTTGGGAAGAGCTTCTAAAAACAAGAAGCTTGATATCATATAATATATGGTTTCGATTTCCAATTGTTTATATCTGCACAGCTTTGACGGCCCGCAGCTCCACCATTTTTGAAGATATTAAGATAAACCTTCACAAAAATCTTATCAGCATCAATTTTTAGGTGATCTGAAAAAAGTGCAAATTTTTTTTCTATTTGTACATAGGGTATCTCAAAAACGCAAAGGGTACCTTTTCTTAAAATTTCCAAATGGAACACCCTGTATATTTTTACACAGTTAAATAGTATTTTAATGATCTTCTTTTTGATATTTTGATAATTTCAAGAAAAAACTACTTGTATTCAAACATGAAATCAAATATTCTCTCAGAACAATAGCTTTTATTGACACAACAAAAATAATCTCAGCCTAAGGCAATCGTTAATGATTTGTTCGAATATATTCGCTTACACGATGTTTCATGTCACCGGGTGTTGTAGGTTTCTACTGGTAAACCTGTCCTTATACTTGGCTCCAGAAAGAAGTCGAGAGGCGACAGATCTGGTGATCTCGCTGGCCAATTGATCGGTCCGCCTCTCCCTGTGCAACTATTAAGGCATCACCGTCTAGATACGGTTCTGAGATCCGGATATATGGACCTTCTGGTTAAGCACAATCGGAAATCGTGATTCACAAGCTGCTGAAACAACGTGGTAATAAAAAATACTGGACCTGGAAATGAACAGAACTATCTTGAATGTTTCGCATCAATTTCATAATAAATTACTGTCTAGGTTTAAGATGACTCTTGTGTGAAAAAAACATTGTTTTAATGGAAGATCTGATTTTAAGTCTGAATGAGGAATATATTTTTCTTCTAATTAATAGCAATAATTCAAAAAATGTTTGAAAAAAGTGGCATAATCCTGGTATCAAAAATGTTTTCCAAGGAAAGCTCTTTAATGATGTAGAAATATACCGGGTATTCCTTTTGAAATTTACGAGGAAATGAACATTTTGCGTTTTGAAACACCCCGTATGAGTAGAAACATATTTTAGCATTTCTTTAAGATCAGCTTAAAATCAACCATAATAAAATTGTTGTTGACTAAAATTAATGGAAATATGTATATTCAAAAATGGCAGAGCTGCGGGCGGTCAAAGTTGTGCATTTTTTTAGACATTTCACTAAGTATGTTATCTAAGCAGTTGACAATCGAAACCATATGCTATATGATATCAAGTTTCTTGTTTTTAGAAGCTCTATCTAAATACATATGTAATAAATTATAGGGTATTCTATTTGAAAAAATACATGTTTGCTATGGCACGAGGTTACGGAACATCCTGTATACGAGCCCTGTCTCAGTGAAGTTGGCCCAATGCCCCAAAACAAGGTAATTGTGAATTTATTTGAGGGCTAATTAAATATAATATTTTGGTTTTTTAAATGTTTATGGAAAATGAAAAAACCGACACGGCTGTTATTAAAGTGTTTTTATTTCGAAATTGTCCTCTTCGCAAAATGATTTGTGTATAGCAACTTGAATGGTCTGTTTATTCGCTTCGATAAAATAAAGGTAAGCTTTGTAAAACAAGTGATAACATTTTATGTTACTAAGAAGCTGATTTTTGACGTTTAACTGAACTTTCAACGCATTGGTGTTGTTTTTAACACTTAAAAATGACTCGTGGTAAAGGTGTTTCTGGCGAAATAAGAAAATTGATAATTCACTTGCATTTATAAGGCCAAAATGCTTTTCATATTACTATCAGTGTTAACAAATCGAGATATACAGTTCGAAATATTATTAATTTGTACAAAACAATGGGATCTGTTTCTCAAAAACCCGGAACTGTAAGTCGGCCGCGTTATTCCAATACCTTAAGAGCCTCAAAGCGGATTATCAAGGAAAATAGGCGTGCTAATTATAACGAATTGAAAATATTATGGCATCAGGCAACCACAAAAAAGTTTTCAAGAGCAACCTGTCACTGAGCTGATAAAAAACTGGGATTTAAAACTTACAAAGTAGGCTTAAAATACTTTTTACTGACAAAAATTTAGAAGAAAAACAGACAAGCGGCAAAGAACACAAATTATGGTCTTCGAACCAACGGAACTCCATTATTTGGAGTGATGAAGCCAGATTTGAAGTATGCGTTGGTGATAGTAGGAGTCGTGTCATAAGAACAAAAGAAGTGTTTCAGAATGACTGTCTTAAAAAAATTCAAGTTTCCTGCTCCTGCTATGATTTTGGGATCGAAGTGGAGTCGGAAACTTTGTGGAAGGTGTTATGAATGCTGATAAGTACATGAATGTGCTTCAAAATAACTTAATACCCCAAATTGAACAAATGCGTTTAAACTATATGTATATTGAGTGTATATTCCAATAATTCAGTGCTGCTTGCCATATGGCTAAAAAGTAAAAGATTGGATGATAGAAAACAATATTTCAGTTTTAAAATCGACGTCGAGTAGTCGGGATCTATCGCGGATTCAAACCTTGTGGCATATCATGAAGAGAATGCTCTGATCGAATCCCGCAAGAAGCTTTTCAGAATTGCGAACCCGTCTCCAAGAAATTTGGAACAGTTTCACATCAGATCACTGCCAAACATTATTTGACACTATATCAAGACGTGTCGAAGCAGTAATCAGTCGAATAGGCGATGTAACGCAGTTGTGGTTTGCTGCGATTTGGTTTCGTTGATTTTTATTAATCGGCAGTTTTTTTGAATTTGTAAGATAATTATTCTTTATTACAAAAAATGTAGTATTTTGGGCTAATATTAATTAAAAATATCGTATGTTATCAGAAATACATTTTAGTTTTTAATACATTTCCACTATGCCAAATTTCATAAAAAACGTAGTTTAGATAGTTGGGCCAACTTCACTGAGGCAGCGCTTGTATATACCAAAATAATTCTAAAATATGCACTAGTAACAAATCAAGATTGCCACGAAAATACAAAACTTTCCATTTTAGTTGAGACACCTTGCCAGGCAGGCAGATGTGTCGGTATTGTTATGGAATAACTTTCATATCACCTTTGAGTGTTACTTCTGTAGGACAAATAAGACCTTTCAACTAAAGTCGAACAAACTCAGTTGAGATGCACTCAAAAAAGACTGTCATACTTGGAATGCATGTATGAACCTGAAATTTCATGTGCCAGAGCTGAGACTTAATATAGTTAAGCACAAAAATGGAAGAGTAGTGTGACTCCACGTTGGCCACTGTTAATGAGGTGTGTCTCTTAAGTGTGCGCAGATTTCAACGTACAGAGCGTTAGCACCGAAATCCATGGCGTGTGATGCGGCATACATTTCAGTCGATAGAAACTGTATAAAGTTCTATACAGGCAGTGCAATATTAGTTGCATAACGATATAAGATCTGTCAATTTTTAGTTACTGCTGGTGCATGGAATAGCAACTATCGCATTCGATATTCACTTGGGGTTCCATATATGATACTACACAAATAATAAAGACAAACATATAGTCGAAATCACGAAAGATGACGATTACGTCATTTTAGTCTATAGTAAAGACAAACGACAGCGATTTTTGAATATATTTAATGAAGTTTCTGATATGTTAGACAGAAACAAACAGAATTTTATTGTCCAAACAAACTGTATTGCTAATTTGCATGTATCGGACAAAGATAGACGATGTTTTCATGTTGCATGATCGATCATATTTGAAAGATGAATAGTTAGGTTATGTTGAAGCAGGTTATGCTGTTTTCGAATAATACTTAGGTCTCTGGTATTTGTGTCTTAAGGTATTCTACTTATAACTGTTTTTTTTTTAAACAAAATTCCTCACTAAAATTATTATTAAGGTATCACTCAAAACCATGAAATAAAATGAAAATAAAAATAATCAGTGAAATAACCTAACTTCGCAAAATCATAAATTTGTTGTCATTATGTTTCTGACTCGTGATTTTATCATCGTCGTACGTCCATTGATTACTTCAGTACAATTTATGGTATTTTGAAAATATATCTGTCATAAGTGGTAAATTTTTGACTTGTTCACATGAATAAACGTTTTATCTCGGCAGGGTATAATGCGCAATTTAGTGCGAAGATACGTGACAGTGGAACAGCGTAAAGCCGAAAACCAAGGTGTCACTGAAGACGATGTGAACGAGATTAAGCAGGACATATCTGCGTTCCGCTTCGAGCTTATAGAAATACTGAAAAACTCGGGAATGAACACTTCTACGGCGCATAGCGGTATGGGTACGTATAGTATCTTTATACATATTATATGAAAAGCTACAAAAAGCACATCACGTCCATTCTCACCGAAAGCAATTGACAATTGCAACCAGACCAAAACGCGACCCGGAACATGCTTTCCAAATGGTTTCTGCCACTGTCGACGCTAGTCCGTCTTTTTTTCTTATTATTTGAAAGATGCCATAACGACACCCCAGCTAGTGTTCAGGTCGTGTGCTCAAGAAATTATCGATATACTGATAAGAGTAATCCTTCACTGCATTTAAGAAATATATTTGCGTACAAGTTATGTATTTTTAGTCCTTTTGGTTTGGTAGCAACGGTGGCGTAGAGATAGACGTTATGGGTCTCCTAATCAGTCGCCATGCACTGCGCGGGTTGGATTCCCATCCCAAGAGAAAAATTCCCAATAACCATAATAGTTTATTTATATTCCGTTTTCTCACTCATAGTAGGTACTTAATTAAAGAGTTTATGTACAACCTCAAAACGAGAGAGTTGCTTAGCAATGACTTTCGGTGAGAACGCAAAAGCAACGCAACGTAAGTCGAAATTGGGTTGAAGTCGAGCCATCATATGGTTGCTTTTCGTGGAACCTGTGCCTTAAAGTATAATAACTAAGACGTATCTACTTGAAAAACTATGATTTTGTCGACTTGAAAGAGCAAATCTTGCCTTGGTCCTCTATAGTAATTGAAGAGGCTAAATAACTGCTTCTGAAATGAAATGCCTTGAACACCTTTTGTGATAATTGAAGAGCCAGAAGCCTGTTTGACCTTGATTCAAACAGCCGGGAGGAGGAGCGGGGGGGGGGTGTTATGTACCCTCCGCTTCTGGTTATGCCACACTTCTTTCTATGTATTCGTATATTATACAGGGTGATTCACAAGTCGTGAGCAAAAATAAAACATCACACACAGTACCGCATTTTAAGGCGGGTCTTCTATGTAACATTTTCACCTAGAGGGCTTCATTAAATAGATCGGGATGTTGAATATTACAATTAAAAAACATTTTTTTTAATATCTTTAAAACCGTCAACTGGAATGACCTAAAATTTGTTATGTGGATTTACCTGAGTATTGTCCGCATTTAAAAGTCTTGACTTAAGATTAACGTGCCTCAGTGTCGGAGATACAGAGGATTAGTGGCATTATTTTTTCAAATCAAAATAGTACGCCACTGTTTTTTCAAAATGCGCAATTTTTTGAATTTCATCTTCAATGTGTTACAAATAATTACTCTTGTGTTTTTTTCCTAGAGTGCACTGTTTTCGTAAAAATGAGAATAAAACAAATTAGATCATTCTTACCGAGATAAAGTTAGTTTCAAAATAAAATAGGAGTCATTGATACCAACTTGACGTTTCTTGGGAGATAGTTTGTCAAAGCTATGTATTATACGGTTGTTAGCGTTACTTCTATATTTTTTTTTAAGTCAAGTCTAAAGTTTATTTTTTCCAGTTTTGGGTGTTGTGAAATGGAGTTTAGTAATGATGAGTACACCGATATTATTTTTGTGTACGGATTCTGTAATGAAAATGCTTTAGCGGCTTCTCGGGAGTATCAGCGTAGATCTCCTAATAGACGCCAACCTACCCCAAAAGTTCTTACGTGTGGATTTCTAAGACTTCGGCAAAATGAAATTGCTAAGCTTCGCGGAGTTAGAGGCCATGGTGTCCGGCAAACTGTTGAAGAAGAACTGGTTGGCGTGGAATGATCCTAGTACAAGTACTAGACGGATTGCAGCCCAGTTACAATGTTCCCAAAGTCTTGCGTGGAGAATTTTAAATCGGAAGCTTTACATCCTTACCATCGGCAAAATGTGCAATGCAGCCCGGCGAGGAAGTGCAACGGAACAATTTTTGTGAATCGTTACTGCAAATGCATACTCAAAATGCAGATTTCATTGATTTGGTTTTGTGGTCAGATGAATCGCTTTTTACGAGGAGTGGAACCTTTAATTCTCATAATGAACATATTTGGTTGTTAGAAAATCCCTGTTCTGAAAGAATTCACTCGTTTCAACACATATTTTCTAGAAATGTCTGGTGTGGGATTTTCAATGTCCAGCTGCTTATGCACGTATTGCCACAACGTTTAAATGCAAACTCATACTTAGCTTTTCTAGAGAATTACATAGAAAATGTGTTAGATGATGTTCCGTTAGCAATGAGAGTACGAATGTGGTATAAGCACCACGCGACGGTGCCCCAGCGCGCGTTCGTCGTGACATAACCGCATGGTTAAAACAATTACGTATTATTTTTACTTGGAAAAATAATGCCAGTAATCCCTTGAATCTCCGGCACTGGTGCACGTTAGTTTTAAGTGAAGACTTCTGAATGTGGACAATACATAGGTAAACCCACATACCAAATTTTAATTCATACCAGTTGACGGTTTTGAAGATATTAAAAAATGTTTTTTATTTTTATACTTCAACACCCCGTATCTTTTTAATGAAGCCGTCGAGGGAAAAATGTTACATTGAAGACACCTCTTAAACTACGGTCCTGTGTATGATATTTATTGTTGGTTATGACTTGTGATTATCCTGTATAAATTATGTTTGATAGTACAACTTATTTACAATCAGCAAGGCTAAAATGATTGTAAAATACGACTACTTTTTACAGCAGTTGCTTTATGTGAATACCTGTGTGACTCATTTTGCTAATGGCCATCTCTCCACCCATCAGATTACTTAGTGTTAACATCCTAAATTTCAATTCGTAGGATAGTATAAAGTAATGAATACAAGTCCAGGAAATTAATCAAATCAATGGGTCCGTTCAGCCAACAAAAAGCGGTGCAGCGGTGCAGCGCTTTAATGCTGAATAGCAATAGCCATTTGCCACTTTGTCAGTTAGACAGCATTTTTCACTTGCAGTTAGATTTGATAGTTTGATGATTAAATTTTGCGGACTATCAAGGCTATTCCAGTATAAAAGCTCTGCACCGCTGGGCCTTGCTGAACGTTTCCACTGTTTTAGTTGCTGCATATTCTTTAGAAAAATACGTCTTGTTATTTTGCATAAGGAGCTTCAGGTTTGCCTATCTGTTGCTTTTTTGATAAATCTAGAAGAAAGTAGTTTACACATAGATTAGTTTGGAAACATTCACTTATACTTCTTACGGAATTAAAGTAAGGGAAGTACGGACTGCCCTGCTATAAACTGAACACCTCTTAATTTCATTGTATGACCTTTTAGGAAAAAGAAGTTATTATAAGTAACAAAGTTTGTAGGGTCCAATATAAATTTTGCTATCAATAAAGTATGTCTTAAATGGAAGGCTCTGTATATCTTTAGTACAATGATCGCTTTTTTGTCAGTCCAAATATATGTAGCCTTTTATACTAATTTTGAATAATTAGGTAGAAAATGTATGTATCAGTTCTTATATCAGATTCCTTACAGGACGTTTCAGAAAGACGTGCCTTTATTTCTAGGGTAGAAACACACTACCCTAGTGAGCGGGGCCGTGGCAAATGCTTGTTCCGGAAGTTGTTGTATCCAGTATACAACTTCTTCCCGTTCAAGTGATTAGGAATTCCCTAGTACCGATCGCCGGGTGGCGGTACAACTCCGCTAACGGGCCACTTTAGTTCTATTTAACATCATTAACACGCAAAAAGAAGGTGGTAGAGAAGAACCAGATGACCCGCTAACTTTTCCCAGGGTGTCTTATAAATGTCCGCATGTTTCCACACCTGAACTACGCAGTCGGTCTCCTCCAACAAAAAAATCAATTATGATTGATCCCTCGAGTACTGAGAATTCCGGACGTAACCTCACTCTACTCTCGGAATGTCCGGGTGGAGGGTGGACTCGAGGGAACAACATCGAAGATAAAATTTGTGTCACGAACATCTGCGGATTAACAACAACAGGTGTTTTGGGATAAGCAATTAGAAACCATCATCACATTAACAACAAGTGGCAAAACCTGCAGTTTGCCTCGGTTTTCGGCCTTAACCTTTTTGCTATTATTCTGATCTTTTTACGTGTGGGCTCATTTTGTAGGTCTTATAAATACCTAAAAATCTTATATGAAGAGTTTTTTCGTTCCTGTCAACGCTTTCGATTGAATCCCAAAAAACACTTTTTCTCATTTTTTGTTGTCGCATAAAAAGTTTTCCCACAAAAATTGGTGTACCCATTTTATAAGTCTATGTTCTGAATAACCCCTTGAACAACTTGCAGCAATAAAACCAGACTTTACAATTATTTCGCATACCAGGGGTATTTTCGACTAATATGATAGACTTTTATAAGTAAGGTGATGGAGAGGTGCATAAATCGCGAGCTTCTGAACTACCTCGAACGTCACGGCTTGATTAGCGATAGGCAGTATGGTTTCCAGCACCAGCGATCCAGAAGGGACCTCCTAGCTTACGTCAGGCAGTTGTGGGATAGACTCGTCCAGTCTTATGGCGAGGCTCATGTCGTTGCTCTTGATATTACGAAAGCGTTCGATCAGCGATGGCATGCTGCCCTCTTGTGCAAACTTCCATCCTATGGCCTCACAGAAATGCTTTGCGGATGGGTGGCTGACTTTCTCTCTGGCCGCAAGATATCAGTCGTAATTAACGGGTTCTCGTCTTCATCCCACAACGTCAACGCGGGTGTTCTCCAGGGATCGTTTGCGGCTTCGACACTGTTCCTCTTACATATTAGCGACCTCTTTTCCTGCCCCAATCCATAACTTCGCTGATGACAGCACTCTACATGCAGGAATTCAGAGTGACAAGATGATTTGTACCGCTGAGCTGGAAGAAAGAAGACTAGCGACAAGTTCCTCTCTGACGAGAGACCTGGAGGTTATCACCTCATGAGAACGCAACAATATTGTACAGTTTAATGCTTCCAAAAAACAGTGCTGTACCTTGATGAACAAAAAGCGGCCTAACACTCATTCGATTTCGATATATGGCCGAGTTCTGCCAAAGGGCCGTTCATTTCGGCTGGTCGGAGTCCAGATCACCGAGGACTTGAT